AGGCTGTGGCAATGTGCACATCAGGTGTGGTTGAGTTGATTCTAGAGACAAGTGGCAAAACCAATTATGTACAATTGTTTAATCTGCTTTTCCAATGAACCATTCTAGGAACGGCTGTAAACAGAAAGAGAGGGGAGACATGTGTGGCTTGCCAAAGCCCATGATAAAGTTTATTTTTGATTTGATGAACCCATGAAATCAACCCTTGCCCTCTCCAGCTTCTCTTAGATTTCTCTACCTGGTGGACACGATGAAGTTAGAGATCTTCTAAACCTTCACGTAGATTCAATCAACACAAACAGATAGTATCACATTATGTACTAGGATATGGCATTGACCAAATCATCCCAATCGGTCTACATCATAAAGAATCATTTGACCTTCACCTGTTGAGTTTTCTTCATCACCAAAAAGAAGAAGGTGTGTCAATCTATCCATTTTTACCATTTTCTTTCTTTTTTCTGACTGATCAGACCTCTATGTGTTGCTTTGCGTTTCAGTTCATATCATCCCAAAACTAAGATCCAGGCTGAGTTCACTTCTTATGTTTCTCACTCAGCTTGTATGCCAGACCCGGTTCCAAGACTTCCAAGAATGACATCATATAATCATGCAAATTTATCATCTATGCCAGTCAAAACGATAGAGCTGGGGGACCTCTCTCAAGCCTCCATCTAGGCTTGAGGGATCCGTATCCCTATGTGAACCTAGCGGATTATGGAGAGGTCAGCAGGGGGGAATCACCAAATGCTGAGAAGAGGTGCTGTCAGACCCCGGGATGGTGGGTGGGTTGCAAAAATTTTGAGTCAAGAATTGGTCAAATTGCGTCTATGAGCTGTGAGGTCTGGCGTACTAGGAAGCTTGAAGATTTTCCTTGAGGTTGGTTCGAAGAGTTAACAAAGTGGAATCTGGGATGAGGCGGATGTCACACAGGCATAAGGGACCAAATTTTCAGCTACTCAGAAAGGAGGTACAACAAGAAGTAAAACAAAAGCCAAGCTCCCCCAACGGATGGAGCCGCAGGCTCATGTCCCTCTCACTTGCCTCACCTCCAGCTCTTGTTGTTTCCTTTCCACTCTTCATTCACAAAATTGTAATTGACAAAATCTTCAAAAAATTATTATTTCATCATCTTTGTGATCTTAAAAAGGTATACAGAATAACCTTATTATTCATACACCTTATTAAAATTCTTTCATCTTTGTCTAGTCTTATTTGTCTGTTACTTCAATTTTTTCGTGTCCCGCCCACCACCCTTTCCTGCCACACCAGGGGGTTCAAGTTTCACGTGGAGCAAAAGTCTCATTCAGTTTTTTGTTTGCGCGTCTCACGAAGGAGCGGGGAGCCTTCCAGTGGAAGTGCTCAGTGCCGGTTTGTGGCCGCCCTTCCTTCGCCCGGGCCTCATTCTGCAATTCCAGGCCTCGGGCCACCATGAGTAGCTAAAATAACCTGTCGCCTCACAGACACCGTACCTGATTCCTGTATTGGAATTTTGGAAATACAAGCTTCCTCTGGAATGAGTACATAAGGCTAAGTCCCTTATGTACTCTGTACGCCCATACACTTAAGCCTCACTGCTCATACTCCGCCCCGTAGACAACAGTCCAACCTGCGTGCCTTGCCTGACACCTTGAGTAATGGGGTGTCGCATTCGGGGCTGCGACACGCTGTCGCTGCCCCGGGCGTTTCATACGACTTGTATGCAACATGGCCAAATCGGGCCGCGACACCCCAGGAGACTCTGCGACATCAGATAGATGGTCTGCGACATCAGATAGATAGTCTGCGACATCGTTCACCTGATCTGCGACACCTTCTACCTGGCGTGCAACCAATCCATATCATACTGCAACATTGACACTCATCGAAATTCAAATCCAGCCAGTCCGATCCTTGGTTCATCACAGCACCCTCTATTTTGATCAAATCTCTACATCATCAATCCAGCTCATTACATCATCAATTCAAAGGGTCTTCCATCTCCGGACGAGATGGCCTTTAATCTTCAACAATCCTGGACTATCCCCACGTCGGGTGAGCAATCTATACATAATAACCAGCATGACACTAGCCAAAAAGAGGACCAACGGTGGATTATTCTTTGTGATTCTTTTTTAATCCACCAGCCGCAGCTAGTCAATGTTCAGTTGTCGTTGTAGAATTAAAAATTTCAAAGGAATTCATTTGGATTACTGTCTGGGCAAGTTCCTTTGTTTCTGGATTCATATGTGTTCTCAAAACCTATAAATCCGCTGATATTTCTGGGCTTTCTGTTCCTCCAAACAAAATTTTTTGCGCCCTGCACTTCGAATTCAATTCTTTTGTTTCCATTGGACAAATCTGATTTTGTTCAAATCATTCTGCGTAACTTCTTTATCTTAAACACTTTAATAAACCAAAAATGGAAACCGGAACCTCCATGACCGTTGATCCATCTTCCGCTGCGACCTCTGAATCTGTTGTCACACCTGATACCATCTCCGCTGCCATCGCCCAGGCTCTAAAGCAACAAGCAACCGAGTTTCAAACAATCATTGGCACTCTTCAAACCCAAGTCAGCAAATTGTCTGTCAAAAAGGGAACTCAGTCCACCCAGTCATCCTCTACACCAATGTCTCAGCGCATTTCTACACCACCTACTCGCAAGGTCTCTCAAGGTACAACACCGCCTTCAAGAACTCCCAGAACACCGGCAACACCTACTCCTCCCCGCAAGAAACATCCATTACAACTCCATCTGACTGAGACTCCCAAAGACTTCAAGTCTTGCAAGGTAAGAGAGTCAAATCAAAGAAGTGATACGGTATTGATGCTGATTATTTGACTGCTACACCCTTTTAGTAAGCGCTTTACGTCCACATAAAGATGATGTGGGGTCTTTACAGACAAAGCGATATTCCCCCAACCCCCAACCCTGGCCTTTTGCAAGAGTTCAATGCAAAGTTCAGCACGTCTGCAGAAGTTGAAGCGGTCATTGGCGATCCGGCCAGCGGCGACATTATCGCTCGAGAATCTATTCTGTCTTTGAAAGAATTGCGTGTTAATGGTGGTAAGATAGCCAGGGGTCTTGGTCATATTGACCAGATCTCTGTGCTATATATGAATGGCATACTGGCAAAAGTTGGGATCCGGGAATGGGCACCGGACCTTGAAGATGCCCCTGATTCCTTGTACAATTCAGCATGTTGAATCACCTGCCTCAACACCTTTCGCCAACTCTTAGCCTCCGGAACTTACAACTATATGAATGTCGAACTCAAATATGCGGACAACATCACTTTGTTCATTGCAACCTATAATCATTACGTACATTATGTAATGGCTGGGAAATACAAGGCTGAAAAGGCTGAAGCGGGGCGCCTTGCTAGAGAATCGAACAGAAAAAATATCCAAAAGTATAGGGAAAGAGTAAGTGATTTGTTTGATTGTTTTCATTGTTTCTTCAAATCAAATTGTCAGTTATCTAATACCTGCTTGTATCTCAGCTCCGTAATCAAATATGCGACTATCTATTCAAGCACAAAGCGAAAGTTCCCCTTCGCTATAGAACACTCTGCGACAACATCCTGGCCCACAGCGATGACGAACTCGACAGAAGCAGCAATGTGCGAATCATCAAGACCTTACCCTATCGCTCCAACAACGCCAACAAGTTCTTTCGAGCACTTGATCTGGAAATGGCGAAAGAGGCTCAGCTCAGTTCAAACGGAAAGGGCACGGTGAAGGTTCCCCGCATGTTACCTAGAGTTCCTGTTCCTTCTCAATTCCCCCGAGCTCCAGTTAATCTCCCCATTGACTTCTATAACCACAAATGGTTCAAGGCTCTTGGTCCTGGTCAACGTCACTTAACTGCCGATGCCAACAACGTCTGTTTCCTTCCGGATGTGAGTCAATCCCTTTTACCTAAACGACATCCCGATGAGCTCCTTAGTGACGAAAGATTTACTGCCAAATACCGCGACGCCCTATCCGAAGCGTATGAGTTATCAGATGAAGAAGACAATGTCGACCCAGGCCCCAACGAAGCTGATGACGAAGATGACGACAAAGATATCAATATGGGTGGTAATGGCACGGCTCTAGGTACAGATGATGACAATGACCAGTTTTATGAACAAGGTGAATATGGCAACTTGTATGATGATGAGTGAGGGTGGTGAAAATGCTTGAGGGTCGCTTCAGTTATAATCGTTTTTATTTTCCCCCATGCCTAAAAACCTCTTGACAAAATCTTAAAAAAATCTTCTTATAATCCCAAAACCCAAAAACACGCACCTGTTTCTTGAACGCTGTTTAATTCCGCCCCATTTCTTAAAACCACTGTGGACCTAAACCAAAAAAAATCTTGTTATAATCACAAAACCCAAAAACACGCTTCTGTTCTCTTATATTGTTGTTTGTTTTGTGTCCTGCCAATTGATTGATTCCAATTTGTGCTTTAAACTACCTGTGACCCATGAGAGACCAAAATAAGAGCCAATTTTGAGATCGATAATGTCTAAGCGCCAATTTTGAAAGCGATATGTTGATAAGTATTGAATAGAGTCGATGTGAATCAACTTGTAATTTCAAAAACGGAGGCTCAGCCTGACTTCATCTCCAAAGTAGGTCAAAAGGAAGGGAACATCACAGGTTTGCATTTCAAATATGGATAATGAGTACTAGAAAACAAGGAAACAACTATATATCGAGTTGAGACTTATACTCATATGGTCGCAGTATGATCCCTCTCTCTTGGATTCCAAAGGTATTGGGAGATAAAAGACAATAAGCAGAAACACACACAACAGAATCAGGCGAAACAACTACGTCAGATGATTCAATTTGGCCAACCACACATTTTTGCAGAAAAAGAATATAACGAAAAAAACAAGAAGATGACTCTAAATCTGTAGCATAAAGATTGGCAATTGGGTTTACCAAACAAACCGTTTGCCACTTGTGTTCAATGTTCTGGAACTGGTAGATCCTCCTGATTAGGCCATAAGAAGTCTTCCCCGCGTTCTTGTATTGTATACAATTGTTTGGCTTGAGTACGGACAACGTGATTCTTTTTGAGATTTTCCATGAAGCCTTTGTGACTGCATAAGGTTGTAATATAAGCGCTTCAGGTGGATGTGGAATTTGACAATAGTTCCGTATTTCCGGGTTTAGAACTTGGGCATACTTAAGCAAAGCGGTGTATTCCCTCTCTTCGAGACGAATGCGATAACGGTTTTTGCCGGGGTCCCTCATTGATTCATGCCCAGATGGTACCGTGATCTCCTCGACTACTGAATGATTTCCCAGCAGCCTCTGCCATTGACTAAAGCGAGACATCATGGTCCCATCCATTCAATCTGTCAAAGAACGGATCAGTTTTACTTAATAATATACCGAATGCAACACAAAAAACTTACTAAGGTCCTTGTTGTTAGGTATCTTTTGCAACACCCCTATCAATCTTTCACCTGCAAACTCTGCCACTGAGATGAGAGGGCCCCAACGTCTCATCTGATCCGGTATATGTAACGCGTAATGATGGTTTGGGACGATTGGTACAGTTTGAAAGATGTTTTTTGAAGTCTGATGATATTGGCGGTAAAATTTTTCAAATGACCGTGATTCATATTCAGATACCTTTTTCGCGCAAACAATATTTGTACATTGAATCAAAGCAGCAACATTCAATAAAATTTGACCTCAATTGGAATCCTTCTTCAATTGATCCACGTCGGCAACGTACATTTCAACAACAATCAGCGGAATGATGTAAGCAAAGAGGCTATGCCACTGTGCCGCTTTCAAAGACCCGTTCTTTGCTTCTCCTAAATTTGGAGGAAGTCTAGCAATCCCCGATGGTAGGAATACATCTCGCAGAAGTTTTCGAAAGACCATGATATCTCCTTTTGAGAAAAGACCCCCATCCCATCCCCCTTCGAGCTCGACATCGTCCTCAGAATCACTTGATCCAGATTCAATTTGCATCTCCAAATCTTCATCGATCACATTTCCAGTTCCTTCTTCATAGTTATTTCTTTTCCGAGGTTGATCAAATTGTTCTGATCCTTGGTCATTCCTAGGCCTTTCTCCTCAAGTTTG